CTTTTTAAATAGTATAATAAAAAATATATTAATAATCTTTTGCTAAAAACTTACAACACAAAATATCCTATATATATACTAATATAATAAAATTGTAACAAAATCTCTGTACACGGAAGATATTAAATAAAATAATTTAAGACCTTTTAATAAGAACAATGGAAGATAAAAGAATATTTTTTTAGAAATTTACTCATCTGTCTCTATGTATTTTTGTTCCAACATTACACAGAATCTACAATATCAAATTAAATGCGATTTCCACTATTGTTTTCTGAAACTCTAATTTAAAAACTGGTGTATGTTTTATTTTAACATGCAGTCTAGAAGAGGTCTGTTTCATTGGTTTACTTACGTGTAAAATCCATGCATATAAAGTAGCAAGAAATATGCTGGTTACATTATAAATTTTGACTATTTATTTACATATAGGTAAAACCTACAAGTTTATTTCCATAACCGGGGTATATTTAATAATCTGAATAAAAGTAGCTAATGTTTTTATTCATCCCAAATTGTACAAGCCTAGTAAATTTCATGACAAATTGATTGGTGCGATAAAGTGTCAAGGGATGACAAATAAATTCACAATTTCACAACTGTGGTTAATTTTAAACTTTCGCGTTGTTTACACATATTTTTAAATACACAATCGAGACTTATCGCGATGAAAAAGCTTTTACAGGTAAATAGTACTTACATACCTGTTTTTATATTGCCGATGTTTCGTTGTCACGTTGTGGTCACGAGAGGACTGGCAAAGTCCTATATGTAGGTACTATTTATGTAAAAACTTGTTGAGAACCGATTGTGTATTTAAAAATGTTCACATCTGTATACATAAACATTATTTCCTGTTTGTTAGTTACGCTAAAACGCAAAAACTACTTAGTGGTACAAAAATTATATTCGAAAATCGCTTCCGCTTACGCTTTATTACACGTGAAGCACTAAGTGCGCACCCGACGACCTAAATTCACTCACAATGGATATGATCTTTTAACGTGTCTCTTTGTCTCAGCGAAAATGTGTTGATGCGAAGCCTATGTGCTCTAATAAGGCGGAATATATACTGCTAACGGTCTTGTTACGAATCTAAACTCTTTAAATTGTGTTGGGTGGGTTTTGCGTGATAAATATAGATAGATAGATATATAATTTATTTGCATTATTTACAGCATAGAAACAACAACAGATAGAGATAGATATATACAATAAAAAGAGACAAAATATTCATACACAAAAAAGCTAACTACGTAAAAGAAGTAATATTTTTTCCTGTCATACATGTGTTATAGTAACACAAAATGGCACATCTCAGTTTACCGCTTTGCCCTCAAAAGGAGCAAAATACTGATATTTTGTTGTGGCTAAAAAATAGAGAATAAATTTAAATAAATGTAGAGAAACAATGTCGCTATATATATATATATAGAATGAAAATAAAATGAGGTTTGAAGTTTTGTCATATTATGTGTGTGAACATAATACTTGTCAAAACTACTGTTAAAATGCAAAATCAATCAATATAATAATGATTTACCCATATTTTTCATTATATAATTACATTTCTGTTATTCCAAACTGTTGACTGGGATAAAAGCGATTTTTTAGATTTTTTTTAATAGATAGAGCGATTCAAGAGGAAGGTTTATATGTATAATATATGCATAATATAGTGGAGGAACACTGATAAATTTAGAGGTTTCTAATGTGATGTGATGGAATGTGCACCCATGCGAAGCCGGGGCGGGTCACTAGTAAAGAATAAATAAATAAATGTGACAGCAAAAGTTACATTTTTAGTGATGTAACCGTTCTATAGATAGTCTCACTTTCCTATAGTTGTGGCTTCGATTCCTGTACGTGCAATATTTTTTTTTTTACAACACAGGGGGCTAACGAGCATGCGGCTCACCTGATGGTAAGTGACTACCGCCGCCCATGGTCACCCACAACACCAGCGACATTGCAGGTGTGCTGCCGGCCTTTTATAATATAAACATTTCGTGAGTTTGCTTTTCTTTGTATAATATATATGCATAAAATATATATGTATATAAATAAAGACAACATTAAAATCAATTCGGAATTAACATAAGCAGAGAGGCAACATAAAAATAATAAATATATATTGTTATTAAATATTTTTATAATAATTCAGGAACAAAGAACCGAAACGTTGCAATAAATATAACATTTAATCCTTTAAACTCTGCATAACTACGTTAAAAAAAAAGTTTAAACCAACCGAATTAGGTAATGAACATTCCCCGAACGACATTGAAGACTGTTAATTACCTTTATAATTTTAATTTACGAAAAAAAAAATACCCCGACATTTTTAATATAGAGGCTGTTATAACGTTAGATTAATACAAGTTGAGATTGCAAGGTTTTGGTAGTCCCCTAATGAAATTCCCCTGCCTACCATATTACTGTGCCCCCTTTCAGGGCATAAACCGTCCCTCTTTGTACCTACATAATACACTTCCGCTGCGCAAACCCTTTTTGCAATAGCGATATGAATAGTTATGATTTTAAAAGAGCCGTATGAATTTTACATTTATATTTGTACCCGACGATGCCTTCGTACGTGAATATGTTAGTGTTTGCTATTTTCTATGATAAAATAAACAAATGTTCATCGGCTTTGCTCGCGTGTATTATTAACTAAAAAGTATGCAAAATATTAATCACGTGTTACAACTATTACTCATTTATTAAAGCTTTACAAGAGATATAATAAATACTGGCAGCAAATAAATTCATGGACATAGTATATCCTTAGTCTATGACATTTACAGACTAACAAAGTCATAGATTGTAAGACATTATTACTAAATTATTTTAGTCATAATATTTTAGTCTGTGTACTGTGTGTACAAATCCATAAATTAAACGTAATACCTACAATCTTATTAAATCCGTTTATTCTATTATATATTGGGTGATTTAACGCACAGTATTTTTTTTTTTTGAGACAAAGAAAAACATATGTTACTTTAATCCTGGTTACATAGAAAAAGTCATGGCCATAGCTAATAATAAATAGTAGAAAAAAAAGTAACATCTAAAAATGTAAATGAAAACAAACTATTAATTAAAAAGTTTTTAAATAAAAAAATAACTTAATTTCATCTATTAAGAATATTCCACTGGGCATTCCAGTGTAAGATTTTATTAAATTATTTTTCATGTCTGAAAAGTGCAGATACTATCAAACTTTCACGTTTATCTAAAGTTTGTTCAATATTTAATTTTTAACCAACTCAATTTTTATTTTTTCTAATTTCTATATCAAATTCCATTTGAAATCCTATTTTGTAAAAAAAAAAAACCTAATACATTCTATAATTACCTATATATAATATTACTCTTATTAAACTTTTGCTGTAATAATTTTAGAATTATAATATACAATATTTTTTTGTTTCTATTATAGTATACATAATATAATATATTCACTTAATATAATTGTAGTCAGAGATACTTAATGTCATCTACCCAAAGGCGATAATTCTATCACTTATTAGAATTTACGGTATTTATTATTTTTAATTGGTGCAATAAATTGTAAATAAATAAATAGCACGCTTATATCTACATTAATAATCACCGTCCAAAATCATAAAACTTACAATCATTAGCCATGAACAAGAGTTCCGCGACTAAAGTGTTAATGACGTTAGGAAATTCTCACAAAAATAAAAACAAGAAAAATGGATTTTGCACCAGACTTATTTATATTATAATATTTTAAATTTATTACAGAACTCCTTATAATATATTATAATCGTATTACAATACGATAAGTAACTCACAAAACTGTTTTTCTTTAGCGTACAACATCTTTCTTCTGCGTTAAATAATATTTAAAGCATAATTGAAAATCTTTCAAAGCGTGCCTATTTCAAGGACGTCGTCTACACACATTGTTTTGCAAGATGAAAATATGCTTTATGTACTGTTTTTGATGTCTCAAGAAATATTTCGTGAGTACGCTCAAAGCAATTTACTGATAAAAAAACTTTTGTCCCCGACGACGATTCTTCATGACAGAATATCGGTTACTCTTGAGTATTTTTTTTTTATATCCACTTTTGTATTTTATTATCGTCGCTTTTGTACTTTTTTCATTTATATTCATAATACATTTTTTTTTAATCATTTCAGTGAAGAAATGGAATTAATATTTAAGGCAGATTACTTTTTACTACTTTCTTTGCCTATGAATATTACTGACATAGAAAAAAAAAAAACATCCCTCACCGCCTAAACATATAAAAAACTATTATATTTAAAATATTAAGCATTTCAGTGAGGTTTATCTTTCGGGTAGGTTAGGTAGGTATCTATTTTTTGGAATGGAAAAAGATGTTGGCTACTTTTTATAACAAGGAACCTCGGTTATGCAGAGAAAGTTGCAAAAAATAACTAGTTATATATGCAAGAGTTTATTTTTATAAGAATTACAAAATATGATTTTGTTTACGTTTAAATTTAGTAAAAAAAAATAACTAAAAACCAAATAAAAAAATTAAAATTTTAATTTATCAGAGAAAGTAATACAAAATTATAATTGCATAACAGTTTCAGAGCCGCTGCCCGCCCATTACAGCGGAGTTTGAACTATTCGAATCGAGGATTACTATTGGTCAATATTCTACGAGCACATTGCACGCGCAAGCCGTACATTTTACTTTCAAGCGCTTCCATAATATTGTAGCGGCATTTTAGCCAATTCAAAATAATGCTCCAAATTACTTGTTTAAAGAACTATAAATACGGAAATAAAAGTTATAATATTTATTAAAAGTAACGATTTACTAGTTATTAGAAGAATGAGTAGAATATATTTAAAAATAAAAGAAATAATTGTTGCACAGATTGTGTAGCGCTGCAGCTACTGTAAGCACGTAATACAGATCTGCCCTCAAACTATTTCTGTCATTGGTTCACTCACTACTTCATTCAAAATCGTATCAGTCTCATTTCAGCGTTCGTGTCGTTTATATGTATCTATTTGATAATACAACGGAATATTTTATTCTAATATTGGTTACATCCATTTGTAGATAAAGATTTGTGTTATTTGCTTTAAATAGTTGCATAAACACCGCGTGTGTACGGGACGTTCTATTTTTAAACAGTTCGCGAAAATGGCGGAATCCAGTGGTAAATTTTTACTAAGTGCCTGCCCATCGTCGTAATTTATCATAGCTGTATGAATTATATTTCGTCAAAGGTTCAAGGATAGTGGGTGAGTTTATTTAGTCTTTTTTTCCTGCTAAATATGAAACTGTTACGCTCATACTAGATTAGTGCTATTGACCTAATAGATATTTTTTTCCTTGAATCGTGTTTTTCATTATTCCAGGGTCACGTTCGCAAATTGAACTGAAAATGAGGAATAATGTTTGTTAATTAATCTGTGCTAAAGGGAAATATAATTAAAAAAGTGGAATCCGTAGAATGTAGGGGATTTTGTGTTTGGATAGGATTTTTTTTAATTTTTAAATATTATACTGTAACTCTAGAAGTAATTTAGTTTGCCTACGGTATTAAGCTAAAATGGAAGGGAGGGGTCAATTATCCGTCTATACAGCTCTCTCCTAATCCAGATAATTATTGGACGGAACTACAAAACAAAGTACGAATCTACTGAATGGATAAGTAGGTACCTACTTACCTAAGCGATGATCCCTTTGAGATATCCTACCAGATGTAGCTAGGTAAAAAAAGGATAGAAGTCCTTCATTAGTATAAAAAAATTAGGCTTAACTGTAGATTACCGTTCTTTATGGCAGTCTATGGGGGAGGCTTATGTTCAGCCGTGGACGAATAATGGCTGAAATGATGATAGATAGACCTATAGATAGTGTCCTTAGCCATACACCTCTAAAAAACAAACACTTTCATGCCGCCAGTCAAACTGTTTATAATTACTCTTCACCATCCAAAGGTCGCCGGAAAGGGTGGTTACCGATAAGGCCGCCCTTTGTTTTCTCAATGTAATCTTTTCATCTTGTAATTGTTTGTATTTATAAGTTTACTAATATAATCTTTTGGGGAAAACAATATAGAGTATCTATCTATGTCTGTGTCTATGACCACAGAGCAATTAATATCTACGTTATTTAAAAGTCGACACTGCTCTTGTATTTATGAAATTAGAATAAAAATCTATGTAACCATCTTTTCTACCAAAAATATCGATGTTGATAGGTACCTTAAAACCTACTTTACAGCGCAAAATTTTTAAATTCAATAGACTGGTAGATATTATTTTTTTAATGGGTAATGAAAGTCTTAGCCATACCTGTGCTATCAGTATACACTGGCGGGAAACCAGTGAATGATGATTGATAGTTGATGAAATCGGATTAGTTGGCACATCGTAACGAATTCAGGAGGAATTTACCACGATGTTTGGGGGGGGGGGTGGAAGTCTTCTCGACAGGGGTCTAATCTCTCATTACTAACAATTCTGTATTTCCCATTATATAAGTTTCATTTAATAAGTTATTTTCAGTAAGGATGACCTTCTTGGATACCGTTGTGGTCAGTTCTGATGAATTCATCATGATGTGCCAACTGAACTGTCTGCAGCTTCACCTCACTGTTAGGTTTTAATGGATGATAATAGAATGAAAGCCCCGTCTGCGCTAACGGTCTATGCTGGCGGGGCACCAGTGAAGGACAAAAGCAGTCCAGTTAGCCCATCGTTACGAAATCCATGAAATTTAACCACGATAGTTTATAGGGGAAACCGCGTGGAGGTCGACTTGACAGGGTATATTGCTAGCAATGGGACTGGTAGTCCGCATTACTAACAATCCCTTCCCCTCAACCTCATTGTTAGGTATATTGCCAGCATAGACAGGGCTACCATCCTATTTTCATTCATAAAAAAAAGTGGGCTAAAAATTAACACTCAAAATGAATGGATAAATCAAATCTGTAACTGGACCTAACCTGACAAGGACAGAAGTATATCTGTCACTGTCACACATTTTTCCATCAAATCCTGTGTAACATTGTTTGAATGTTTCCTTTCTGTGGGCGCGCTGGGTATGCGAGGAATGAGCGTGTAAGGGGTCCCTTGCTTTTATTTTAGATACAGTAATTTTATTATTGTTGTATTTATATTTGCAACCTTATTACCAGGAGTTTGATTCTATAATTCTGTAGCTAACAATTTTCATTTGAAACTGATTGAATTTGATAATTTTTTTATTCTAAATGTGTTATTGTGATACGTCTAGTTGAGTGTCCTACACTCCATTTGCATGTAAGGGGTCGCCACTTAATAGCAATTTGTAGATTATATACGGCATCAGAATGTATATCCTGTTGTTAATAATGGCGGACTTAAAGCCACAGTGCTAGCAATGTACCCTATTAGATCGACCTCCACGCGGTTCCCCCCAGAAACCATCGTGGTTACTTCTCGAGGAATTCGTCACGATGGGCTAACTGACCTGCTTTCATCGTCGCCTATCACTCCTCACTGGTGCCCCGCCATCGTATACCGATAGCGCAGGCGGGGTTACCATTCCATTTTCACCCGTTGAAAAAATCTAAAAACGTAATATTGTAAGACAAATCTATTGGTATTGTATAGTTAATACAGTACTTATTTATTATTGCATTTTTTACCTGAATAATTGTTGTTTTTTTTTCTATAATATAATTTTATTTTATGAAGTAATTATTATTATTATCTTTAATTAATGCTTTATTAATATATATATAATAAAACTGTAGAGGTCGGTTGTCTGTACATAGAAAAAAAAAACGCTAGAAACCGATTCAAGTGAAATAGAACATATCTAAATTTACGTGTTTTCAAAAAAATAAGCGAAACAGTATACTCTGTTATGTCCACGGTGCTGCTCATGTCTATAGGCGACGGTTACCACTTTCCATCAGGTGGGCCGTCAGCTTGTTTGCCATTCTAAGTTGTATAAAAAAAAGAAAATACAAATTTAATGTATTAATTAAGGATAGTGAACAACACTACATTTCCGGGGGGAAAGGGATTGTTAGTAATGGAGACAGAATCCTATTGCCAGTAATATACCCAACCAGGTCGACCTCCTCGCGGTTCCCACTGAAAACTCATGGTTAATTCCTGATGAATTCATCATGATGGGCTAACTGGCCTGTTTTCATTCTCATCTATCACCCTTCACTGGTGCTCCGCCAGCGTATCCCGTTAGCGCAGGCGGGGTTACCATGCCATTTTCACACATCAAAAAAAATCAATATGTCGATACCAATTAACAAGGTTACGTAATGCTTAAGCTACCGAAGTTAACACAAACCCAAACACGATCCACATATGAATACAAATAATGTTCTTTTCAGACAAATCCGGATGTCGGGCTTACATCTGCCGTCTACAGACTAGAGTGTAGGGTGAGCATTCGTTATAAATGTTTTTAGGACAGTCCTTTTATTATATTTATATAGCAAAATTATATTTAATTCATTACTATTATTAAAAATTTATTTATTTATTTAACTCCTTATTGCACCAAAACAAAAATATACATTGACATATAAACAATTCAAGTGAAATACAATAGCATGGAGTACAGGTTAAAATATACATATAAAGGTACAAAAGGCGGTCTTACCGTCATTTTATTTATTAATTTTATAACTATAATAGTAGTATCTCTTTTAATAAATGAATCATTTCAGCCATTATTCGTCCACTGCTGGACATAAGCCTCCCCCATAGACACCACTAGAGCCACCTGCATCCACTGACTCCCTGCAATGCATTTCAGGTCGTCACTCCATCTAGTGGAGGTCGTCCTACACTGCATTTGCCCGTACGAGGTCGTCACTCGAGAACCTTTCTTCCCCATCGGTTATCGGTTCTCCGAGCTAAATGACCAGCCCATTGCCACTTCAGCTTGCTTATCTTTCGAACTATGTCGGTTTTTTTTGTGGGTGACAATAGTATGGTATCCCCGCCTGCACTGATGGGATTCTCAGTCTCCATTACTAACAATCCCTTTCCCCCCTTATCGTTGAATTAGTCACGATGGGCCAACTTATCTGCCTTTTTATCCTTACCAATTATCCGTCACTGGTGCCCCGCCAGCGTATACTGTTACTGCAAGCGGGGTTACCACCCCATTACCCCAAAGGTGGACTAAAAAATGCTATTATCATTAAGTCCGCCTTTAGTACCTTATATTGGTCAATAAAGTTACTTAAAAAAATAAAAGTCCTTAATTAAAAAAAAAAACAATATGAATAACCTCGCAGAATCCGAAACCATGGTCACCGTAAGTCTAAAATAAACCCATGCACACATCTGCTGAGCACGTGGTGTGCGACAATGGTGTGCCAGGGGTGTATAGACGACGGCCATGGGAACATGGGAATGCGGGCATTCAATGCTCGCTAATTGTTGAATGGGGGTCAGGGGATGGCGCAGATGGGGAAGAGGGGGGGGGGGAGTTGCTTTAAAATTTCTAGTCGATTTATTGACTAACGATAGTGGTTTTTTTGAAGTCATTTTTTAAATGCATTCTTCTAGTTGAACGTTATTCAAGTAATTTCCAAATTATTACATGGTGACGTCATCAGTTTTGGTTTACAAAATTGTTGTTTTTTTTTTTTTAATATATAACGAGAAAAAGAAATATTTTTATTCAAGTGAACTGTTATTTTAACCATTTTTCAATAGTAATATCTTTTAATACTACCGCCCAACATAGAAATGCAATTTGAGGTGAAAAGAACGGGCAAACAACTTGGATGTTGCTTTGTAAAAAATAATGATATTGTATTGCAAAAAGAATCATTAAAATCGCGTAATATAGTAGCAAAAAAAAAATCAAGACGAATTAAAAAACTCATTCTTTTCATTAATCGCTTGAAAATAAACCAATTAAAATTTTTTTTATACAATTTAGAATGCCAAACTGATGCCCCATCTGATAGGAAGTGGTAACCGTCGCCTATAGACACGAGCAGTACCGTGGACATAACAGAGTATACTGTTTCGCCCATGATACCCCCTCCCCCCATGCGTTGTCATTCCTGAGGACTCAGGTGTTATTCCTCTGTACCCATGTACCCAGTAAATTCACTGCCATATCTCAAACTCATATGCCTTCAAACCGAAACACTTTAAATACATACTCGTAACACATCTTTTTTATAATGCAGTATTGTTACTGGCCGCATATAAAACGGGTCTAATAGATTTGAGAACGTTAATAAGATAATATGGAACACCTAGGGACTCCTCCCGCACCGTAATGGACCCGGTATTGATCCTGTAACAGCGTGATGTGGCGCAAATTGGCGGGTAGAGGCGGCGGGCGCGCCTATGTTTGTTTGTAACATTTAATTTTTCGTATGTTTATTTATTTATTATATACTAGCGACCCGCCCCGGATTCGCACGGGTGCACATTACATCACATCACATTAGAATTCTCTAAATTTATCAGTGTTTCTCTACTATATATACTACTTACCAGAGGGAGACTTTGTACAAAAGTCGATTGCTTGGGTACCTCTGTCCCATTCGTGTTTCAATCGTGAAGCAATTATGTTTGCATGGCTGTGTTTCGGTTTGAACGCATTGGGGGTATCATGTGCGAAACAGTATACTCTGTTATGTCCATGGTACTGCTCATGTCTATAGGCGACGGTTACCACTTTCCATCAGGTGGACCGTCAGCTTGTTTGCCATTCTAAGTTATATAAAAAAAAACAAGTAGGCAAAGACCCAACATCCACACAGCTATATTTGTATTGCCAGATAAAGACCACAATTCATACAGCCAACAGATTAATTCTCTACAACTGGCCAGCCACAATTGACGATAGCAAATATGTTTACACATTTACATTGTTAAATAAAGATTATGATATATCCCTACTAATATTATAAATGTGAAAGTGTGTTTGTTTGTTACCTTATAGCGCCTTAACCGATCATTATGAAATTTGATATATACGTACTACAAATATGATATGAAGAAGGATATAGGTTACTTTTTATCCCGGTTACGCGGACGAAGTAGCAGGTAACAGATAGTGTTACATAAAAATAAATGGTCGAGGAATGGGCAGCATCGTACCTTTAAAATACTTCCAAAGTCTAACTGCAGTTGCCAACCCACCTGCTTAGTATAGCAATTACTGGTAAAACCCCTCAAGTTGAAGGTCTGTGTTCAGCAGTGGACAGTTAACGCCTAATACAATGACGATGATGACATAATATATATATATATATATATATATATATATATATATATATATATATATATATATATATATATATATATATATATATATATATATATATATCGAATCAAATAGACAAAGACCCGACATCCATACAGCTATATTTTGTCGCGCGACAAAGACCACAGTACATACAGCTATCACAAATACATTCCCTATAACTGGCCAGTTACATCCGATTTCTCCCCCATTTCCTACCGTACCACCAATATTTAGTTTAACATTTATTATTTTATTCTAAGAAAACAACAGTCGTCCCTCTTAAAAATATCACCAAAACCTAACTGCAGTTGTCAACCCGCTTGTCAAACGTGGCAACTACTAGCAGAATACCCCAAATAGAGGCCCATGTTCAGCAGTGGACAGTTAACGGCTGATTTAATAATATTAGTGAGAGATCATATTACAATGTCGGCCATTTTGTTATCTAACGATAGAACTATCTGCATACGAAGGCCAGCACTTATCAGTCAGTTAACGTTTACTTTTTAAATCGTAATCATATCGTAAAGATATTAATTGTGTGTATGTGTTTTTATATGTTTTTTTTTTTTATTTCAATGACGTATTTACATACTGCCTAAATAGGAAGTATTCTTTATCTATAATATAGATGTACATATGTTACTTGATCTTTGACATGACTAAATAATTAATGATTATGTTTCATAGATAAGAACAGACTTCAATTATATTGAAGTCGATTATTTAGAATTAAAAACTAAACCAGTGAATCGATTTTTATGAAATTTCTACTTATGTAAACCCCCCCCCCCCCCCCCCTTATAGGGGGAAAAGGATTGTTAGTAATGGGGTCCAGCCCCATTGCTAACAGGATATCGACTATTAGGTTGACCTCGACTCCCTGGAAACCGGGAGGAAAGGGATTGTTAGTAATGGAGACTGAGAATCCCATTGCTAGCAATATACCCAACCAGGTCGACTTCCACGCGGTTCCCCCTGGAAACTATCATGGTTAATTTTTTTGATGTATGAAAATGGTATGGTAACCCCGCCTGCGCTAACGGTATACGCTGACGGAGCACCAGTGAAGGGTGATAGATGAGAATGAAAACAGGCCAGTTAGCCTATCATGATGAATTCATCAGGAATTAACCATGATAGTTTCCATTACTAACAATCCCTTTCCCCCCTCAGGTGCACACGTACTGTATTGGTTACACGGACGGAGTCGCCGGTAATAACTAGTATTCATATAAATCATCGAATGATGTCATATACCCCACGCCCAGACTCCCGCTGTAAGCGTGCAACACTATTTAGGGTTCCGTAGGCGATGATTTGATTATCATGACCCATTTTTTAAAGGATGGCAAGTACATACAGCTCATAAGTACATATTAATGAATAGAAGATAGATAGATAGATGACCTTTACCATTATTAAAAAAATAAAAAATTAAAACAACAAAAAGAAAAAAGAAAAACAATTAATGTTGCTGGTTGCTGGAGCCGCCTCAGCTGTTGCTATATATGTATAGCTCCAGCGAGATGTACCTATACATTTATAGCTCTGCTAAAAGCTTCAATCTTTCGTTCATTATTTAGTTATGTATACAAATACATACACACTTATATACACACACAAACATACACCAACACACGCGCACACACAAACACACACCACCAGAAGGAGACTTTGTACAAAAGTCGATTGCTTGGCCACCTCTGTCCCATTCGTGTTTCAACCGTGAAGCAGTCGTATTTGCATGGCTGTGTTTCGATTTGAAGGGTGGGATATGGCGTGAATGTACTGGGTACAGAGGAATAACACCTGAGTCCTCAGGAATGGCAACGCATGGGGGGTGTCATAGGCGAAACAGTATACTCTGTTATGTCCACGGTACTGCTCATGTTAATAGACGACGGTTACCACTTTCCATCAGGTGGCCCGTCAGCTTGTTTACCATTTTAAGTTGTATATAAAAAAACACACCCATGCACACACACACTCATACACACACACACAGAGAGAGAGAGAGAAAGAGAGAGAAATACCGATGAACTACAATTTCGTAGATACCTTTTTAAATATTTAAATTTGAAGGTACAAAAAATTTATAATGTACCAACACGGGTGAAATTTTTATTTCTTGCAAGAATAATTGTAATAGTTGAT